CATTTTTTCTCATAAAAGATAGATGACTTTGTCATTTTGTTTCCTTGGGAAAATATTAAAAACATTTTTTTCCGTTTTTAGTACTCAGACATTCAGGAGGTTAAATATAAGTCAAATGATTCTGTTCTGTACTGTTGTGTTAAAACCAACCTATATAGCTGGCCCTCCAGCAGGTTTTCACACAGGAAATCACACAAGAGGAGATTGGCCATCTTTCTCACACAGAGTAGCTGGTGGAAAGAACTATATACTTTTTGCACTAACAGTAAAATCAATTCCTCACCGCTAAGCCACTAGAGCTCCTTCAGAATGACTCTAGGACTAATCCCAAAGGTACCTGGTTTGAGGTCATCAGGTGCTCTGTGAGATAAGGATAGACAATCTCTTTCCATGTGATTAACTGCCTCCTAAAACTCACTGGAAGGTCAACTATAGGTTGGTTCCAACTCTACTGTATAGAACAAGAACAACGAGCTTTACTTGTAATGAGTGATTTAAATCGGCTGACTTTGTAAATTTACAGTATCTATTACACATATTTTTCACAATAGTATTAATAACATCACAAAAGTGACACATTATTTTAGAAAAATAATAATAAAGAAAATGAGTATGTTATTCATCTGACTTCATGAAATGAAAATAGATTCACATTTAAACAACAGGTAAAAATAAATATATTTTTATTTGACATAGTAAGATACCCATTCCAAATCTTAAGGCATTTAAATTTTAAAAGCTTCTTCAGAAAACAACTTCAGAAAAATATCACTGGCAATTGATAGGAAATAATTACACTTAGCACATAACTTGATTTTTCTTTGCCTTAAATATTCTGATATAAGAAATATCACAAAGACAATCTAAGATTTTGCCCCTACATATTGCTTTTATGTGAAATAAAGTTCAAACTGTCGCATAGCTCAGATGAATTACATTTTAAAAAATTAAGTCTATAAGGTAGACATTTCATTGCTCACTCACATATAATCTATACACAGCAGTAGTTTAACTGATTCTGCAGTTTATGTCATTGATTTGGCATGGTATCTTTTCAGAATGTGTCCCAGATGTTACGCAAAGTTCTAAGCACATATGAAAAATGTGTACCCATGAATTTGTGTCTGTATGTGTGGGGGTGTGTGTGTGTGTGTGTGAGAGAGAGAGAGAGAGAGAGAGAAAGGAGGAGATGATAAACAATAGCTTTCATAGTTCTATTAAATGCTAGTATTTAGGCTCTATGACTATTTACTATTTTTAAAGCAATTTAAATGGTTTTAGTGAGTATTTATAAAGTGTGTACTGCCTTACACTCTTTAAATATATGACAGCCGACAAAATAAATTTTCTGGATGATGATCAAGTACATGTTGATACAGCTGTTGCCATAGCAAGTCATACTAAAGCATCTATTGCAGCTCCAAATAGCTAAGCATGGATTTTTTTTTCCTTATAAGAACTCCAAAGGCTTATGACTTTGGAAGAATGAGTACCTAAAATCTAAAATGCTAAGGAAAATAAAAGTCTAATTACAGCTCTGTGAAAGTGTGGGAGAAGAAGAGGATAATTTTCAAATATACAAATAAATAATAAACTCACAAACTGAAAGGCACAGTAATGTAAATGAATAATACTTAAGGAAATTTGCTCCAAATGAACAAAATATGCACTTATAAAGTCCATGTGCACATGGCTTAACTCAGGAAGAATGTTCTCATTGTAGTTTAAAGGTCTGTTTTTTCTGTGGGATAATTCTTGCTCTTTATGTACTTATATTTTACAACATTCTGATCAAAGCCTAGAGAACTTTTTAAGTCATTGTATCATTAGAAATTCTTTATTGATGGATCCATATCCATGGTTCGACAGTAAGTGTTGAAATGGATTTGATACTTCTACGAGCTCTAATAAGAGTTTTTGGATGGCTGTGTTGTTAGGTGCTATCAAGTGAAATACAATTTATAGTGACTATGAGCAACAGGCTCCACGGTCAACACTCTTGGCACCAGCAGCCAGGAAATAAAAAAATGTATGGCGATGGGAAAGTCTGCTGTGAGGGACCTCTCTAAAGTACTCAAGAGCAACGGTGTCTCTCTGGAGACTAAGGTCAGGCCATGGTCTTTGCAATCACTTGTTATGCATCAGAGAGTTGGACAATGACTAGGGAAGATAGAAGGAGAATTGATGCCTTTGAGCTGTGGTGCTGGAGAAAAGTATTGAATGTACCCTGCACTGCCAAGAAAACAAACAGATTCATCCTGAAGAGGGTTAAACCAGGCTACTCCTTGGAGGCAAGGATTCTGGGGCTTCGTCTGACATACTTTGGACACGTTGTAAGGAGAGACAGGTCCTTGGAGAGAGACATCATGCTTGGTAAGGTGGAGGGACAGCACAGGAGGGGAAGACCCTCTATGAGGTGGATTGATTCAGTGACTGGGGTAATCGGGATGGGTGTGTCAGAGGCCATGCGATAGGCACAGGATAGAGCAGGGTTTAGGGTTGTTGTACATGGGTCGCTATAAGTCACAAATGACTCGACGGCATAACAACAACATGAGCAACAGAGCTTAAATTTGTCCTATTCTGTGAAATCTTCATAATCTCTGATAAACGTGAGCCCATTGCTTTAGTCACTGTGTCAGTCTATCACCTTGAGGGTCTTCCTCTCTTCACTTTTCTAAGCATGATATGTCTTTATAATAACAGCCCTCCTAACAAAATGCTCAAAATATGAGAGGTGAGGTTTTGCCATCATTGTCTCCAAGAAGCCCTCTGGCTGCACCTTCTCTAAGCCCTATTTCTTTGTTTTTTTGATTGTCTATAGGATAGTCAGTACTCTTCTCCAACACCACAACTCAAAGGCATCTATTCTTCTCCTGTCTTGCTTATTCATTGTCCAGCTCTCAAATGCATGGCAAATGATTGAAAAGATGATGGCGTTTAAAAGGCCTTCTCAGAATGAGATATCAGGCTGACCTAAGTCTTAGTCATGCTGGAAGATAAAGTCACGTAGGTTAAAAATACACAGAGGTTGCAACAATGGCCTTGGGAATAACAATTATGAAGTTGGTCCTCGACCAACAACAACCTTTCGTTTTATTAATGGAGTCATGAATTGGAGCCACCTTGACAACACCTTACAAAAATCTGCATAAGAGCTCCAAAATAATGAATTCAAAAGCAAAATCACTTTTTCTTTCAACTCAGGTACTCATTTTGAGATCTCATTTCTATATTCATGAGACAACAAACTGGACTTATGGATCTTTAGATAGTATACCTTCTTCAGTAGCAGGTAATGAATGCATCCTACTATGAAGAAGAGGTGTGTCAGACCATGAGAAATACAATTGCTAAAAGAGACAGGACAAAGAGAAAATTATGATATCACAGATATACGTGGAGTTACAGAAATAGTATAGTGTGTAATAGAAAACAGTGAAGGACTGCAAAACTATTTCTCTTCCAAATAGATTGTGTCAAATATTTCCAGATAGTGTTCTATTACTTGTTATGGAAATGCTGCAAGGTCCCACACAAAAGGCTAGAAAGTCCAGTAATCAAAGACAAGTAAAAAAGTTGAATTGATGGGTCCAAGGTTCTTAGGAATATTAAAGACTTAATTTTATGATTGATAGACTTTGTTGAGATTATACACCACTAACGGTCCTTTGAATAAAAAGTCATACTCTTTGAAGATAAAAATCTTGAAAAATATTAAAGGAAATATAAATTATTTCTCTCCAAAACTTATTATGGTTTACATCAATGTATTAGCTGGTACTAACAGAGGGCTGCATAATCACTAATAAACACTTCATTCAATATCAGTGATTAATTATCACTGATAATTAATGAAGTGGTTAGTAATATCAAGTTTGCATTCACGTTCCTGTTACCTCAATTGCATTGTGCATGAATATGAGACACTCCAGTAATCATTAACTGGCATTAAGAAGATGTGACAATATAATGGTAGTCCTCATCAAATGTAATGCCTTAATTATACTATTGTAACTATTTTTTTAAGTCCATTCATTAATTATTGTTGCCCATTTTCTTCCCTGCCTCCTCCATCCCCCAGTTCACATTTTTCTTTGGAAACAAAGTTATTTCATTATTATACAGTAGTTCCCCCCGACCCCAAGACCACTTTACTTTGCAGCTCTTATTCTGGAGTCTTGTCCTGCTAATAATACCTATATACACAGAGAGAGATCAGCTGGCCCAGTGGACAGAAAGTGATGCTACCGAGCCAAAGGTGGGTGACTTTTAATCCTTGGACCTCGGGCCTGTCTTTCATTGTTTTTGTTCAGACATTCCTCTAGGTTGTATAGCCCTGGTGTACAAGTTGCCGTATAGCAGTCACTTGTGGTTGCTGTGAGGCTGAACACTGTGACACTGATGTGTCAAATGCGTTAACAGATGGTTACCCGATGCAGACAGAGAGTGGGGTGGAGCTCCCCAATTAAAATAAGCTCGGAAGGAGGAGTGGCATCCACTTCGGTAATAGCTTGCCTCCGGAAACCCTATGAACCTGGAGAGAGGATGAAAGGCACCCAAGCATTGAGGACTCTCCTTCATAGGGTCACTATGAGTTGCCTGAGACTTGACGGCACTTAACAACAACAACAAGAACATATATTCCTTTTATACAGTTCTCTCCCTATTCTGTTCCAATGCTGTGTACATTATTTATCCCCTCTTTTAATGTTGTAACTATTTTTAAAGAATGCCTAAGGAGTTCATATTCTTATGTGCTATCAAATTGGAACCAACTCATGACTGACCCTCCAGCAAGTTTTCAGTGGCAGTAAATGACATAAGAGATTGCCCGTCTTTCCCCCACAGAGCAGATAATGGATTCAAAGTGCCTGCTTTCAGGGTTGTAGTACAACTCCTTAGCCTGACCATCAGAGCTAGCTGCTTGAATAATTCATAATGAGCTTTAATAATGCATGCAAATTAAATAGAAATAATTCAGGGGATTTGTTAAGTACCCTCGTACTGGCATGCCTAGGTGCTTTGCAGACTTAATGACCTCCTCAAACTTGTTCATGCTTTCTTCAATGGTACAATTAATATTCTTCTTGCTAAAGGATTCGGATGCAGCACCAAACACTGATATCTCACTAGCTCCAGCAGCAACCTGAAAAACAGAATTTAAATTCATAACTAGTAATTTAAAAAGTATAAAGTATAATCACATCATTTAACATTTGCATTAGAAAAAAATTATTTTCTCTCATTCTCCTATACACACTCTTTTGGAATTTAAAATGCTTTATTATTAACAGAATAATTACACAAACTATGACACTTACAAATCTATGAGGCATGGGAAACATGTAATGCTGTTTCAATTTCATTTTCTTTCCTGAATTATGAGTCAACTTCAGGAAAATTTTAAGAAAGGTAAACCCTGGATGAGATGAGTTTGACACAGTGACTGTGCTATAGGGTCAATGTGTGTCAGAGATAGTGAAATTTGCTCATGATGAGACAAGATTCAGAGCCATTGTTTATAGGATCAATATGAGTCATATTCAACTCAATGATATATAACAGTTGGAGAAAAATATTAGTTATTTCAATTAAACCTCTTACAATGTATGGAAAGTATTCTTTCCAAAGCAATTATTAATTAATTAACAAATTAATAAACTCTTACTTCCTTTTCTTCTCTTCCCACAATCCAACAAATGTATCACCATTTTACCATTCAGATTTTCCCTCATGTCTGCTCTTATGTTGTCTCCTACAATGACCGTTATGGTCATAACTCCTGTGTTCTCTCTTAAATCTCCCTTGTTGGTCTTTAAATCCAAAACATAAACTTACATCCAAAACATAAACCTTACATCCCCAGAACCATCTTTACACCTCTTCCTTTCTCCCTTTCTCACTCACCTCTAAAAAATGTCAACCTTCTCACTCTCCTAGCTGGAGTTCAAAAACCTGTTAATTTGAGTATGATACTCTGTCTAGATTCACTCTCCTCTATGATGTTGAATTAATAAACTAAAGGGGGAACATTATTCTCTTTCCGTCAAGATTTTAAACAAAAGTGGGTTTACTCCTCTATCCAAAATGCATCAAACTCTAATTGCCCATCTTCTAAGCACCAGTCCCTATGCTGGTACTTTAAATGTCTTATTCCTAACACAAAAACCTATGCCCATTTTATGGCTCAAAGAGATTAAATAGCATAATAGAGAGCTAATAAAAATTTTGGTACTGTATTTTAAACATAGATTTGTCTGACTCCAAGTCAATATGTGTTTCACTCTACTGCTGCTTATCTTAGCTATCCTGACATAATCTTCTAATCAGTATCTTTTCCAAGATTAAACAATTCCTGCTATATTAGGAACTGGTGGAATCAAGTTTCTTTTGTTTTTTGGGGTTTTTTCCCCCAAATCTTTCTCACCAATGCAGTAAAAAAACTGTATCAAACTGAACAGAAGGGAGGGAAAAGATTCTAACAAGTTATATTGTCAAATGATATACCAGCCAGCACTCAGGACCTCAATTTTATGAAGCACAGTTTCAAATACAGAGTTGAAGAGAAAACCCTCTATTAACACTAGCTATGGCTGTTGCAAAACCTTGTGCTGTAAAACTGAGTAACCATAATACTTCAAGCCTTTTCTTAAAACACCTTCAGTCTTTGAGTGTTTTTGTACATTAAAAAACCCTAAATCCAGAATAGTGAAGAAAAACTAGAAGAGGAATTAGGAAATATCAGAATTAGATAGGATGCCATTAATTAGCTTTACAAAGAGGGAGAAAGCAATAACTAAAGCTTACAGGGAAAAGAAGACAAATTATTATGACATTCACTGGTATTAGTAATTATAGCAATGATTTAATAAATTCTTACAGTCTATAGTCTTAATAATAAGTTTTCAAAAGAATTTTATCAAAAAAGTGGTGTTTTTATGTTTTAAAGCTCAGAATACTAAATTTTTAATCATTTATTCATTAACTCTTATCCATTTATGTAGTACACATTAGATAGTACACATTAGATCCCTGAAGTGTGAAGTGTGACTGGTTACTTATCGCCATTTTTGTGCTTTGTATTAGCATGAAATCTGTGTAGAAAGTGAGTTAAATATGACACTATTTGAGCCGCATAAAGGGCGTATTCTTTTTAAACAGCAAATGGCATTTTCTAGTTTAGAAAAGTTAGCAGCACACTTACAGCATGGTGAAAACCTTGAAGATTAGGAGTAAGAACAGGATATCGGATTCCTGGGTATTGGTGAATGCCTTTCATCACTTCAGTGTGATCAGCCATCTTAAAAAATGTAAGAATTAAAGAGAGGAGTGAACTCGGGGAGAGGAGAGGTAAAGAAAAAAGTGCAACAATGAATGAATGAAAATACAAATCTCTGTAAATATTCACTAAAATTAATAAAATAAATTTTTTTTAAATCCCCAAAAACAAAAAAAGAAAAAAAATGTAAGAATTACATATGAATTTGCAATTTTGAATATTCTATCAAAAATTCTCTTAGATTTTCAGTAATGTTAAGATTTTAGATAAAACTATGCCAACACAACTGAAAATAAAGTCATTCTCATTTTCATAAAAAACACCACAGTTACACCTGCGTTTAATTTGGTCATATAACGTGATCTATTTAAATGAGAAATTGCAGCTGTTCACAAACTTGGAACTATACTATTTTCACTTGAAGAATTTTTCTTCTCTCTGTCTCATCATGGCCCAGGCTTAAGACAGGGTAGAATTTGAAAAGCAATATGCTTCTTTGAAAAACAACGTCCTTATTTTCCATATGTTGTATCTAATCTGGAACACTATTGATTTTCAGTGTAAGACTTTGATAATTCTCAGAAAAATAAAAACCATGTGACGAAAATGTCACAATTAGAATAATTTAGCCAGACTAAGACATTCACACATTATTTGGTTAGCCCATCTTTTAGAAGTAGCCATAATGCTTTATGAAGTGTGCTTACACATTCCTTTTATTCTCATAATGCAAGCAAACACAGTGAAATATGCAACAGAAAAAATTAACCCACATGTCAAGACTTTATCTTGTAAATCTATTCTTTCTAAAACCTCAAATCTTGATTCATACATCAAATTTAAGCGATTTCCACAAAATCAGAAATCACCCACTTAAAACAAAAACCCCACAGAGATATTTTTACCAATCTAAATAGATTTTATTTCTTTAAATTGAGAATATATGTATCACCTTGAGCCTTATTTATTTATGTAATCTTAATTATTGAATACATAATTAATGTATAACAATGAAACTTACACTAAATAAGCATAAAGGAAGCCAGAAGAAAATGCACTAAAAAACCCTGATATGCTCTATTTGTAATGATGTAATTATTCTCCATTTTATGGTCTTATATTGTCTCATAACATACATTTTCATGTAAAAATTTGCTATTCAGAATCAAATCATATTGATAAGTAAGGAACAGCTGTACTGGTTTTAATTAAGAGCACATATTATAAAATGCCAGGATGAAGAAGGGCTTATGTAAAGAGTATTATAGGAGTATATTTTTATTGTTGTGTATGATGAGTTCCATCAAACTCACAGCTACCCTACAGGATAAGGATATAATGGTCCAATACTGTTTCCTAGACTATAAGGTTAATGGAAGTATAGAATTAGGTCTTTATTCTCCCAGTGAGTGACAGGGTGAAGGCACTGATTTTGCTTCGGGTAGGAGCCAAGTGCATAACCACTGTGGCTACCAGGTCTTCTTTGTAGTCTCTTAGCCTCCAGGATTTGAGTCATCCAGCTGAGGCCCCTGATACTGTGGATCAGAAACAACCAGTCCTTCTGTTCCCTGTTCAAACTCCTGACCAAGGAATACATAAACACAATAAATTTTTCCTGTGCCACTAAGTTCTGAGGCAATTCATTACACAGTAATAAAAACCACAACATCTGAAAATGGATACGATTTGAACAGATAAAGGGACAGGTGCAAAAGTGGGAACACAGGAGAAGTGAACTATTAAGATTTGGACTATAAGTGAAGATGGGCCATGATGTGATGTTCCTTTGTGTTAGATTCAGGTTGTTCTAAATTGTAAAGGTATCAGTAAGCCATGATGTGTGGGCTCTGAAATCACAGAAGAGTTGGCTTTAGGAAGATTAATATGAAGATGTTCAAAATTTGGTCAAAGAGAGAGAAAATTTGATCAAAGAGACAATTCTCAGGCAATTGTAAGAATCAAAATTGTGCCAAAATCAGAAGAGAAAAGAAAAAGAGAATGGAACTCCCAAGGAAAGGTTAATAGAAAGGAGTGACTAGTAATACAAGAGTGATGAGAAATGGGCTTTATTCAAGAAATAGGATCTTCATTATTACATAGACTTGTTATAAACATTTAACAAGTATTCTTGTCTCAATACAAGGTAGATTAATGACTTAGCCATGAAATTAATCTTTGTGCCAGATACTACTTAAAGGAGTTCCTTAAGTTCTTGTATTCTATTATACTAACCAATATACATTCTCTGACATCCTGAAATCTCTCTTTCTGCTGTATATACTTACATACAAGTATAAGCACATGTGGACACAAAAACTATAATAAAAAGAGTAAAGACTCCAATGCTAATTTGAATCAGAAAAAAAATATCCAAAATAACCAATGGTGATTTTAGAATCTTGTCAGAAAATCTAAAACAAAAATCTCTAAAGAGAATTATGTAAAGTGATAATATTAAGAGCTTTAATCCACCAGTAGATGTGCAATATAAAGCTGGGCAACCTCCTTCTGCGGATTTACAGTCTCAGAAATTTACTGGAAGATCAGTTACGAATTGGTTCTGACTTCATGGCAAAGAGTTTGAGATTGTGGGAATACAGTATGTTTAAACATTTATTTAACATACTAAATAAATGAAAAACGTATGCTTCTCAAAGCAATATACAGACTTAGAAAAAGTATGACAGAGATAAGAACACATAAAGGCAATTATAAACTACACAACAGGACATATTGCTCTGATAGGGAATATTTTAGTCTACACATAATTTAATTTTTAATCAATATTAATAAATATATAACAAATTATTCCTTTTAATACATATTTTCACGAGTAGAATTAGAAAACAAAAAAAATAGTGACCAAATTTATAAGTCATGAAGGTTAACTATTGATAACAGAAGCATATACCCTAATGAAATATTGATAAATATATTAATCAGAATCCCCCAAATTAGTACTATTTTGTCAATTTAAAAACAGGTAGAGTTTAATGAAGTAATCTAGAAAAGAACTATTCCTTATTAATTTGATCAATTAGCTATGTAAAAAAATTTAGGAAATTCTGATAGTGTATATGTTTCATACAATGAATAAAATAGTCTTTAATTAAAGATTTAAAATGCTTGTTTTTTCCTATATTTGGGAGTTATATTTCAATATTAATATTTTAATGCCTAAAGTTTATTATTCAAACAATGGAACTATTCCTTTAGAGGTTTTGTTTTGACATTTTAACAAAAGCTGCCTTCATCTGTTTTGATTTAGCATATTTATAAGATTTTGCTGTGACTTTTCATTTAAAATCATAATAAAAACACCCATGATTTGGTTGATAGTATTCCATCATCTGGCCACAACCCTGGAATAGTGATACCTGTGTTTATCTAGACAACTAAACAGGGCCATACCGTGGTTAATCAATTTCTTAGGCATTCTCATGTTGATGTCAAGTCAAATAACAACAATATACAATATTGTGTAAGAATTTTTTACATACATGAAGGGTCACAAGAAATAGAGTGTAAAAAGCATACAACTTAGAGACTTTTTTTTCATTTTCCACTAATTTTATAATTGTTTTTATGTGCTGTTGAGTCACTTGTGACTCACTGCAAACCTATGTACAATACCCTGAATCCTTCCTCTCACAAATATAGACACACACACACACACACACACGTAACATAAGCTTGTATATATATATAAGCTCTTTCTATATATATGGTAATATGTCTGTGTATATATATATCCATATATATTCATATATGTGTGTGTGTGTGTGTGTTCTGGGTGTGTGTGTATTCTGGAAACTGAGGAAGACCTGAAGCACTTGCTGGATGGATCAAGGACTGCAGCCTTTAATATGGATTGAAGCTGAACATCAAGAAAACAAAGGTTTTCACCAGTGGGCTGTTTAGCAGGATCATGATACATAGTGAAGAGATTGATATTGTTAATAACTTTAGTTTGCTTGGCTCCATAATAAACAATCTTGGTACCAGCAGCCAAGAAATCAAAAGATTTATTGTATTGGGAAAGTCTGCTGTCAGGGCCCTATCTGGAGTATTGAAGAACAACCATGTCAGTCTAGAGATGAGGGTATACCTGACCCACGCCAGGATCTTTGCAATTATGTGCTATGTATCAGAAAGCTGGACAATGACTAGAGACGATAGAAAGAGGATTGATACCTTTGAGCTGTGGTGCTGGAGAAGAGTCTTAATTATACCATGGACTGCCAGGAAGACAAATAGGTTCATGCTGGAGTGGGTGAAACCAGGCTACTACTTGGGAGTAAGGATTCTGAGGCTTTGTCTGATATACTTTGGACATGTTGCAAGGAGGTGTTAGGCCCTGGAGAGAGACATCATGCTTGGGAGGGTGGAGGGACAGCGGAAGAAAAGAAGACCCTCGATGAGATGCACTGATTCTGTGACTAGGGTAATAAAGGTAGGTGTGTCAGCGAAAATAAGTTTGGCACAGGACAGAGCAGATTTCAGGACTATTGTACATAGATAGGGTCGCTATGAGTCTCAAGTGAATCGATAGCACATAACAACAACAACAATGTTGAGGAACTGGCACAAATATGAAAAAAAGGCAATAATATGGAAGGATGAACTGAAACTATAGAAAAAGGGGCACAAAAAATTTAAAACTCATCATAACATAGAGTATTGCCAACACAGTACTAGAAGTAACAGAAAGGCATGAAAACGCAACCGAGAACAATTAAGTCTGAAATGGCAAAAGTGTGAAACATGTTGGAAGAGCAAAAATATAGAACAGAAGTGATGGAACACAGAGTCAGTGAGCTGGAAGACAAGAACCTAATCTAAAACATACTAAAAAAAAAGTCAGAAGAAAATATTAGAATCATGTGGGATGCAATAAAAAAAAAATAACAGAGAGAGGATTGGAATTCTAGGATATCTGAGGGATGGGGAAATCACCGAAAAAACTGTGGAAGCGGTACTAGAAGAAAACTTCCCAGGTATCACAAAAAGCAGAAATTCAC